TTCCTACCTCCCGGTATATCGATCATCAGCTGAAAAAGCGGAAGGCTTAGCTAGACGGGATAGCTAGTTCTGTGCGCGGGTTTCGATTCGATAAATCCCGATTTGCTCGGCGCACCGAGACCGAGAGATCGTCATCTCGTCTATTTGCGGTTTCTTGCCGCTTTGAGCAAGTAGTAATAATCGTCGTATACTTGGCGTTCGGTGGCGTAGCACGCTTCCCGTGATTTATGATGGCTGTTTTACTTTGCAGACTCCCGTACAACGACATCGTCTCTCCGTCGCGTTACGTAACGTTTATAACGTCAAGCCCGCGATTCGCGCGAGATACGCCGCGCCGCATTTATCTCACTCGAAACGACGCGAAATTGCGCGTTAATAATACACTCCGCACATCTAATCCGCTCTATTTGCTACCGATAATAGAGCTATGATAAAATATCGCGATACTCGAGATCAGTACTACCTACAAAGAGACAAACAAAACGGTCTGCAACAACACGGAAGCTAGAACGTAATTATAACAATGTAATTACGACAGACAGGTATAACACATGATGTCGATAGTAATTTATATTATATCTCGATTAAATGTCTTATACGTAGACATTGTCAAATTAATCAAAATCTAAACGTAGCGCTGCATATTATTAATTGTTTATTAAAATTAGGCAAGGTTTTCTGACTTGCAACAAAACGTAATACATATTAATTTATTATTTATTTAACAATTTGTAAAAGGGTTAATCGACATTCAAGGATTTTTGGACCTTTGGTCCGAAAAGCGTAGAAACCGGATTACTTACATGCGGGCGCATCGCCGCATCCTTATCTGATGCAGATGTTCTGGATAATCAACACAACAACGCCTTACAATGTTGCAACGGTGCGATCACCACGCGTTGCGGCACGCTCCTGTCGTGCTCCGAAAGCAAATTACGTATCTTTCCGGCATGCGTCTTGCTTGCGCCGAGCATCGAGATCGAGGGATTACATCTCGTCGCAGAGGAGTCTGTAATTATTTCGTCCGAGTTCTTGCGCGTGTCGGCGTTCGGTCGCGGTCGGCCGTCGTCCTCTTCGCGCGAAGCCCGTCCGCGATCGTTGTCGCACGAGCCGCAGTCGTTGACTCTCACTTTGGCCCTTTGTGCATGTAACGTATAATAAGCGTTTCGCGAAAAATTGCACGTTGCACAGGTCACAGATGTTGCGAGAAGAGTTTTCTTTCCGGCGGACGTAAAGAATCGCGAGCACATTATTATACATGCAAAATATATAGTAATGTTGTATAATATATAGTACGTAGTAATTTTAGAGAGGAATATTTATATTTTATTCTTATATTAATTAATTGGAAAAGAATATTTTTTTTACATAAGTTTTATTATAAATACTTGTTATAGATTCTTATTTATCATTATTTGCTGAAATATCTGAAAATTGTAGGATAGATAAAAAGAGTTAGCTTTGAAAAAAATTCAAACATTTGTAACTGATCAAAAATTAGTAATTCCTTTTTTATTTCTTAGGGTGTTATAACTTGGTTCTAAATATATATTTAATAACGAATGTCTCACAATGACAAAATGTAAAGAAAGATTAACGATGACGAAACGGGGAGGAAAAAAGTACTGTAATAAGGCGAGACACTCGCGACGTTATTGACATCTACGGGGACATTAATATTTATGGGGCTCCACCAGCCGCCAAAAAGAAAGAGACGCGGCAACTCACGACAGAGTAAATGCACCTGCGTTACGCGTGGTGCGTGCGTATGCCCGCGTGTACGCGAGGACAAAGCCTCGTCGCGGCCCGCGGATGTCGTTTCACAGAAGAGGGGCACAGCGAGGGGAGGAGACTTCCTTCGATCGAGCTGTACACGCGTGACGTGCAACTTTTATTTGCCTTTAATGACTGTCGTTTTGCATTCTCTTTCCCCCTTTCTCCCTTTCTCTTAATTCCGCCCTTTCATTTTCTCACGAAGAGAAATTTAAGCATTCAAGATTATTATATTGATTCTCGTGAATATATCTAAGAATCGAGAGATTACGAAATTTCATAAAATTTCCCGGAAACGAGTTTCTCGCTCATCCGCGAAATCTCGTTTAGATCGTTCAGCTCGATCCGTATCCCGGAAGCTGCGTTCGCGAGAGGTTGTTGCGAACTAGGTACTCGCAATAAAGTTGAATGTAAAACGAGAAATCCATAAAGGTAAAACGAGTTACATTGAGATGGAGAGTGAAAGAAGAGAAACAGAGAGGAGAGAGAGAGGAAAGAGGAGAATTTAATAACCACTAATTATCCGAACGGCGAAAGGTTCGGCGATGACTGGACTTTTCTACCTGCATTTTTTCGCTCGAGTTGCATGATTCTTTGCTCCATATATACTCAAATATGATCAATTTAATTTGATTAGTGCGGAAATATTTAATGGATTTTAATAGAACTTCTGTTCTTGACGCGAGAGATGCGCGATACAATGTGATAAATGGAGAGCTTTAAAGCGCACATTAAAAAAGTATAACTTTGCAGATAATTTCTGTTTCGCTCTCTTTTCACGCGTTCTGATTTCGCGGTGGCGCGATCGGCCTCGCAATAACGATCACGAAATGCTCTCTTTTGCCCGTGGTTTCCGAGCCGTGTCGACCTCGACGGCCGCTTCCCGATGGAGGAGAGTTGTATATCATCCGCAGGACGTTTTACGCCCGAAAGTATCCTTCCGCCGCGATGTTAATTGAATCGCGCGCTTTCGAATGGAAGTAAGTAACGTAATCGACCGTTTTTCCGGTCCACGTTGTTCTTATCGGAGGAAAGAACGAACTAGAAAATCTTTCAATCGAAAAAAGGAAAAACGTTAAGAACTATTCGACGATAGAGTTGACAAGTTGAAAATTTTTTTTCGTATAATTTAAAAAAAAATCTTTTTTATTAAAAATTATGAATTGATATAAATTAGTGTGAAAATTGATGATATAGAAGAAATTGCAAAATTGTTGAAAAGATATATAAGATAAATATTATATATAACTTTGATTGTATATAAAAATTAGATTATATGTTAAAAAAATATTAATCGTATAAATATATTTCATTACGAAGAATAAAACTTGTATGTACAAAAGAATTTATTATTCAAGATTAATAAATCTAATTTTCTTTCTTTGTCTTTCCTTTTTCTTGTGAAAGATGTGATGTATGATAAAAATAGTTTTCTAGTGTAATTAAACAACAAGTAATGACACGAGAAACGATTTCAATTTCAGAAAATTGGTTTTTCTTCGCACAGTCTCGTAAAAGCGTTTATTGGCAATTTTGCGCGTTGTCATATCCATCATCCTGTTGCTGCTTCTCGTCCGCGAGCTTATAAGCGTTGTAAATCGCTTGTAATGCCCGTCGTTACATTACGCTACGCGCCTACGAGCCGCGTTAACGACCGAAAAAGCGAGTGACGGCCTCATGCTAATCGACTACAAGATGAACTTTGATTACGTGACGAGCGAAACGGTGCTTCGGATTGTACGTGGCGTGTTAATAAAGAAATTCAGACGAATACTAATAGACTTTATGGTAATTGCCAACAAAATGACAAAATGGACATTTGGAACCTGCCTGTTCAAATTTCATTCTCCATATCCATATAAAATAACGCAGTATTATCTTTTACTGTTTTTCTTTTAATAAATTAAGTCAAAAAATAAAAAAAAAATTTATTAAAAATAAACCTTATTTCAACAATATTTCCTAAAGATGAAGTATAGTAACTTAGGTATTTGTACAAGAAATATATTTTTTTCTTATAATTTTCTTGTTATCGTGAACGCTATAAACCTTACAACTAAATAGAAAATAGAGAACACGCGTAATCTTTAATTAGCAAGTAGCTAATTATTCGCATGGATAATTATTCGCATCGAGTCTTGAATTCCAGATTTACGAGCCATCGTGGTAGTATTAATTAATTAGTCGATTAATACTTTTTCATATTACGTAGCTTTCTAGTTACAGTTATCTTTGAATTTCTACTTTATGGAATAATTTAATTAATCTTCGGCGAATACATTTATCCCGAAAAAGATTTCGTTCGAACGGCGATACCTGGTATTGCGGGTATCGCATGGTACCCCTTTTTCCTCACCAGATGGTCTTAATCATTATCATAAGAGATGCGCATTTTCAGATGCTGCCAGAAGACTCCTTATCGTACCACACTCGTCACTCGCTGATAAGTCAATACGCTCTGGATGATTCCGGGTCGATTTAGGTCATCGGTTCTTATTATAGCGTCTGACTTGTAACTTAGGCGAGAACCCGTTAATCTTTCCAATTCCAATACTTTAATGAACTATTTACCTTTGCTACTTTTGTTGTCCGTGTCTGGATAAATTCAGGTAATATATAATGGATGATAAATATAATTTATATAAAATATAAGTAATTCTGTTCGATCAGAATAGTTAGAGTCTCAAGATCGTTAGGTAGCTCGAGAGTGTTACGTCACCGGTTCTCGAGACCCAAATGCGTTATCAATATTACTGTTACGACAGCTGCTGCTTCACTAAACTCAACCTCGTATATTTGATCTTCTTTAAACTGTTGGTTAAACTAACAACGCACCCTTAGTCAATCGTTTATGTTGTTTTATTCTGAATTTTATAAAACTCAAAAATTACAAAAATTGGATTTAAATGATACTACAATAAAAAGTAACGTTACAAAAAATTAAAAAATATATAATGTGATAAGTATAAAACTGATAATAATGTATAATATAATATTTTATAGATTAAAATGTAATAACAAATATACCTACCCACCATCACAACAGAAAAGTATGACAGTATGCTCAGACTACTTTTTCTTAAAGTATCATAAACTTAAAGTAACTTAAAAGTAAAAAGAAGTATAATCGCGAACGTATCAGAGGAATAAGCTCGTCGGTTGTATCAGTTCTTACATCGATATCCAAGCAAAACTATTCCGAAGCAAATAATGAATTATTCATGCAGAGATCCGTGGCTGAAATCATGAGTAAAGGTCGTCAAGTGAACGATCCGCGATGTAAGAAGACTCTATGTGATTTTTTTTTAACAGTGATGTGATCGATCAAACTTTATCAAAAGATGTGCTTCAAGATGCAAGATGTTGGAAATTCCATCGACATAAATCTCATATTTCAAAGTATAAACATTATATGTACACAACAGACACAAACATTTTCCCCCAAGATTAACACGATTAACATGAATTCGATTAAATTTAGAGCAATGTGATAAAGCATAAATTAAAAATTAAATTACAATCTGCAAGATAGATTTGAGATATTAAAAGAAAGCAAGATACAGCTTCTTTTAAAATTAAAAAATAAAAAGTCATGTTCTTTGCAGTGAAAAGTAACATACGAAACAGATAATTATTTTCTTTTAAGTGAAACAAAAATGGAAAGTCTTGAAAATTAGAAAGAAGAATATCTACAATATTTTTTACTGTTATCTTTTTCATTTTCTTCAAGACGTATTGTATCTCTTAAAATATTTATTATGTGAACCTTTGCTGGTTTCACATGTCAAAAAGAAAAAGTTTGTAACAGCTTGTTGAAGATGGACGTAAACGTGTGTTCACGCCGCGTTCACGATGGCTATGCGACCATAAGATCGCGCGGCAGACCGCGTGCCGTCTATCGTTCCGATTCCGAGGAATTGTTAAAAGAGGCAGGTGGCCCGTACGCTTTGCCGCGCCTCTCAAACTTCCGGGTGGTCTCGGAAGATGCGCGACAGGTGCCCAGATGGGCCGACCTTGGCCAGGATCAACCTTTGATCGAGAATTACGGTACCCTACGTGCCATCAGATCGCGGGATTTCGAAGAGCCGCGTAAGGTAACGCTGAAGACGTTCTCTCGTCGGGACAAACTCGGCAGCAACTCAAGAAACAGCGCTCTATCAGCGCAAGGCAATCTTCAGCGTTTAAGGGAAAATAATGATAAGAATGCTGAAGTGCAAAAAGGGGATCATCAAGCTAACACCAATTTCTACGGCCAGTATGGATGGAAGCCTGAAGACTGCGTTCGTTATGACTGCGATCGGCGAGTTTATGACACGGTACCGGTTGAAGATAATCTAACAAGCCTGAAACCCTTCTGCGTCGTCGATACGATTTCGCAGGAGAATAATTTTATTAATATCAATAACAATCGATGCGATGTTTTTAAGGAACCCAAGGAGGATGTCGAGAATCTCAACAATCGCTCTATAAAAGATTCGAAAAACAATTGTATCTTTAAAAATAAGGATGATCCTTATTACATTGAAATGGAAAATGACAAACAAAAGAGCGCTCGAGATCTAGAAAATGTCAAAAACGATCTTCTAAGGAACTCAAAGAGCACTTCCGTCTTCAAGAATGATCTGGAAAATACTAAACGGAGATTTTCCAAAGACCAACAACCCATTTATGCAGTTCCCCGAGTGTTCTCCAAGCCCAGGCGCGAACGTCGATTGGTCATAGTTGACGGAAACTATGTTCCCAGCGGCGATCTCTACCGCACTACGGCCAAATACATCGAAGACATCAACCGGAATCTCGCGGAGATCGACAAAAATTACGAAGTGATGAAGGCGAATCCCAGAACTTACGGAGTGATCAACAGAATTGCTAAAGGCGAATTGCTGCCGCAAAATCAATCTGGAAACTTGTTCGGCTACGTGAGAAAGAGAAACATGGCACCTATGCCGCCTATCAGCGCCGATATAGATGAAGTTATTGAAGAGAAAAATGAAAAAGAATCCAGGAAAGATATCAAGTATCTTCGCAGACCCAATTCTAAGGGTAGACTTCCGCCCAAAGTTCTGCCGAGATCCTCATCCATTGAGAATACATCCAGACATTCGACGGGATCCACCACCGCCTCATCAAGCAAATCCACTGAATCGTTATACGCAATCAGTGAGTCCTTGACGGAACTACCAAAGATTTGTGATTCTCAAAAACGAGATCCAGCTTGGAACAAGATTTCTCAAGAGCTGGTATTGAGAAAAAGCAACTCGCAGGATCAATCAAAATTTAATATCGATAACGATAATCCGAGGAGAAGCAAATCTGCAGGTTTAGAAGTCAAAGATTCATCATCGTCGACAGACGACGAAGTTTCGATTCAGAAGGATCGATTGCCGGTCACCAGTACGATTCGCAGGAATCGCTCTCGAGTCGACCAGGAGAAATCATTATTGAGGAAAGAACGAGCTTCTAACGAGGTTCTGGAAAGGGTTTCAGGCAAACTAGAGCAGGTACGATCTATGGAGAATCGCTTGAAGGACCGTCGATATGACACCCTGCCCTCGAGAAGACTTAAAATATCTTCGAGACCGCTTCACAAGTCTAGCGAGGACGTTCTTGATGGTGAAAGATTCTCTCACGATGACTCTGATCTACCGAAATCTTGCTCAAATGGTAACTATGTCGATCGAAAGCAAAACGCCGATGAAAATCTCGCGGAAGGCCTTCAGCAAGGTCCTTTTTATGTTATGGACGCCACCGAGGTGATTCTTAAAGGACAATTAGAACGATCCAATCGCTTACAGCGACAGGATCTTTTTCCCAGAACTAGACACAATTCTTTAGAATCTAAGGAAACAGACGGCAAGGTTCAAGCTAGCGCTTTCGCTACTCTACCGAGACGAGGAAATCCCGCAAAGGATCAGCCTGATTCTCTTAGGAGGTTCTCTGGGAACGGACCCATCTTGGAGCCGTTATACGAACATGCGGTTAGTGATCCTGTGAAACCACGAGAAACTCAGAATGTGATACCCTGGTGGGAGCTGGCTACCAAGAAGTACAGGCATCGCAGTTGCCCATCCTTACAGGTAAATTAGATATCGTCCGCGTCGATGTATAGCGTTAATTAGGGACAGGCACGTCGAAATTGCGGTTGCATCTCGCGACTTTAGGTCAGTAGTTCTCAATGTGAGAACTATAATGATAATAATTATATAAAAATGTGCACGCGTTGAAATGGACAAAAATTAGAGATATTAATTTCTAAGAAACTATTCAGCGTTTATATAATACAGAAAATTATAATTTAGAATTTATTAAGTATGCACTTAGTTTCGATATATTCAATGTAAATTCGCAACAAAATACAATAGATCAGATCACATACATAGCATTTAAATTTGCAAGATTGTATATTTTGCATTGCCACAAACATCAAAGTGTAATCGAGGACCAAGCCATATTAGTGCAATAAAGAAACAGACGACCTTATGGAATTATTACTTTGACGAGAACTATGTGGCAACTTTGTCAATGTCTGCACAATTAGCCTCGCAATCAAATTATATTATGCTATGAAAGTCATGAAAAACCACATACAAAATTATGTTAATTTTTTGTCCTCTCATCTTACATGCATTAAATGTTACTTTTATAAACATGCAACAGATTTATTTAATTTCTTCAAACTGATATTTTATTGTACATACAGTTTATCGCGTTAAACATTAGTTATCAAGATATAAATAATTAGAATAATTAGGATAGATTATTGAAATTTTTATAGATATTAAAGTAAATAATGATATTTAATGAACAAAAAATGAAGAAAAGATAATATATTTTCTGTCTTGTGTACATGTATGAATTGTCATATAGATATCTACGTCAATCGGAGTGCATCGACTCCAAACGATATATATATATATATATATATATATATATATATGTATACACAATAGATATGATTTATTCGCAGTAACCATTGCTGGTAGTTAAAGCAATGAAATAATAAATTCGATAATGAGGCCTCGCCGTCAAAATTGAGCTCAGCGCATTCCGTCAGCGCATTTAGAAAGACGACGGCGACGCGTAATAAAGCGTAGGTCGACAATACCACTCGTAGTCCCGATTGAATAATTATGCGCGCATACTTCGGCATACTCTTTGTAATCGTATCATCGGCCCTACCCCGATGAGAGACAATTGGAATCACATATGTCACGTTTTGCGTCTCGCGTAAGATTATTCGTGTTCCAAACATTTCTGAAAAAGCTTCTATTTTAGTTTTAATTTTTACTTTCAATGTTTTCTTAGACCTTTTATATATGTATAAAAATTCTCTATCTATCTAGTATATCTAGTAAGACGTTACTTCTAACTCGATTAAATCCTGCTTTACACTATTGACTCGTCAAAAAGGCAAGCCCTTTTCTCACGCCTTTTTCTCTTTTTCTCCGTCGTCTATTGAGATATTGAGGACGAAGTGATGAAGGAAAACAGCTCACGATTATCGAAGACTCCGCGGGAGCAATTGCACAATTGACTGGCATCAGAAACGATTGGCCAATCGCGAATTTTATTTTCTACTATGTATTCCGTCTTCTTATGCAATCCGCTCTTTCGCGGTCTCGGAACTCTGCAACCGCACTGATTAAAACATCAATTTTAGTCACAAGCGGCGCGGCGCTTCGTACGACACGCCTCCTGCTTACTTTCTCCACCCAAGCCAATCATTGCTTAGGATATACAATTAGTTTTTGCAATATAAATTTCACATTTGCAATATATTTCTTCTATGTATAAAATTTTATATAATTTTATTTTTTAGTTTACGTTAACGTTAATATTATGCTAATTTATCTTAATATTTCTTATTTTATATTTTAATTTAATTTACATTTTGTGTATTTTAGACAGATTTAGGATAATATATTAAAAATTTAGTATAATTTAATTTGAAATAAAATAAAATTTTAAGATTACAAATTTAAAATTTTTTTCTTAAGAATGAATCACTAAGAGAGGCATTTTCCTTAGAAAGGACTCTCTACTTATCGAAATCGAAACCTAAAAACAGATATTCTTGCTGAAGCAATTTTCATAAATCGTGATCCTATTTCCTTATTCTGCTCTCTCCATCTCGGGTCGAAACATCCAAGAGAAGTTTAAACGCCACGTGGTGGAAGGATATAAAACTGTCATTGGGATTTGTGACAGACCGTCGTGTTATAAACACCCTTGCGGGATCCCTGCCGCAACCGCTTCTGCAGGAGAGAGAAAGATTTATGCGTTTCGGGGGTGCACTTTCGACCGGGTATCGTATGTAAACATATACCCTCTCGTGTACACGTAGATATTCTCGTTTTTTCAATTTTCAAACAAAATCATGATTTTTTTTCTCTTTTGTTTCTTCTCGTCACGATTAATAACGCTAATCACAATATTTTATAACGTGAAATGTAACGTAATGTAATCTATTGACCTATTTACTATTTTCACTCTCAAATTTAACAATTTATAAATTTACAAAGTGTATTCACTAGCTAATAAATAAGATACAGCACTATTTATGAGATGTATCTTAAACGCATGTTGCCTTTAAAAGACAATGTTCCATATAAACAGTAATATTTGTGTAAATTGTAATAAAATAAGAAGAAAGGAAGCAAAATGCAATGAAATATTGCCATTATTATAGGAAAAATAAATATTTTTGAGATAATAATAAAATATTTAGAAAGAAAATATTCTCAAAGAGAGACTTGAAAAAAAGATATGTGAAATATATATGAGATAAGGAGACTCTTAAGGAGACCTTGGCCTTTAAGTGGAAAATGTCCTTGTGGCATTAATTATTAACCCTTCGCCCGTAAACTATAATTTGACTGGCATCGTCCGTAATCTGGGTCATAAATGTCCTGTCGTTATTTTGACCTAGTAAATAGTGTTCAAAAAATCTGAAAAAATTCTGTAATACTTGTATACTATCCTATTTTATAATCCCAAAGTTTATTTAGCGATTCATTATAAGATAAATTGTTTATAAATAATTCTTTATGCAAAAAATTGATAAAAATCCATTTTTATTAAAAAAATCATATCTCATTGAGTTTTAAATCAAAATAAAAAATTCCAACGAGGTTTTATAGTTAAATATGTGTACTTTCAAGAAAAAAATTCTGTATATGGGTCATTTTTAAAAAGTATAATTATTCTGAGGATTGAAAATGGCCTTTTTTGGGTTAAGGAGAAATAAGACTTTTAACGTAATTTTTACATTATTTTATTAAAAAATCATATAAAATCGTCTTTCTCGTAAATAATATCTGATATTTGTCGCTTGATCATCCATTGTACCCTGAAAGTACATGTAATTTCTTTTTACACGTGTTTTCATCCACTCAAATTTTGAGGTTATAGGTATATATAATATACACAATCATAAAAAAATATCACTTATATAAGTTAAAAATAACTGTAGTAATATGAAAATGACGTTAAATTAATTTTACTTACTTGCACGAAAGTCTGGCACTGTCCGTAAACTGGGTCAATAGTGGCACTGGACGCACTTTGACTCGCTGCTGGTCAAGCACACACTGGCGAATTCCAACGAAACTTTGGGCATAAGTTCTCCCCACTACCTACTTTTTTTACGAGGGACGGCAAGCCCCCCCCCCCTTTTCATTTCGGCGGTATTCTATCTTGAATTTCGGCTTGTGCCATTTATGACCCAGTTTACGGGCGAAGGGTTAAGTATAATGCTGACCCTCACCCTCCTTTCTGCTCAAGCAATTATACGGGGATGTACATTATTGTGATGGGAAGATCGAGGATAATGTACGTTGTGAACACGGCGTAATCCTCGAAGCGTTACGACCCGAGCTAACTGGGCTAACAGTTCCCAGGCCGCAGAAGTGTGATATTCTTCTCGGCGAAACGTTACAGGATGTTGCAATATCGCTCGAAAAATTCGAGGCGCGGATTCCACGGAATTACAAGGTCTTGGGAGATTTCGTTAAATTTTTTCCATGTATTTACATGTTTTTCCATGAATTTAATTAAATTACTCTTAATTTATCTCTTATACCACTTAAAAGTAATTGAGAAATTAAACTTAATGCCTATAAATTATCTCTTTATAGTCTTATATAATTATAATAAATATTTTGCAAAAAATGCATATCAATAAAAGGAAAAAAAATTGTAGAAAATTGTTTTTCTTACAGTTTATTTGCTTGCAATATATTTTTTTATATATGTATATCTAATTAAGAAGTAAATACACCTAATTAGTAATTAATTTATATTTTATTAGGGACGGGTTTTAAGGTGAATGTAAATTTATATCTGATATTTGATATAAAATATAATTAGCGCATAAAATTGGTTTATTGCACTTAAAAACTATATATAATAATTGTAAGACCTTGGAGTAATTCCATTTTAAATGACCGAATGCCTTTTGCACGACCATTTATTATTTCCTCGATAATTATTTTACATATTCTCTATATACTATATATACCTTTAAGGGTACAAAAATAATTTTTTCAAATTTTTCCACACTTTTTCCGTTCAGATATAAATAATGTAACTCGTCTAGAGGGGGCTATTTGAGCAAAATTTCAGTATTATTCAATGAGTCATAACTCTTTACTGACCATAGCCTTTTCTGAGTGGAGTCTTTATTTGCAGAATAAAAACACGGTCGTCGAACTCGCATTGATCGCTATCCCGTTACCACGTAAAGATCCCAAGAGATTCCTTCGGGATCGACCCTTAAATCTCGAACGTCCGAGTCAGCTGTTCGCCATTGTTTCCACGAATATAAGCACCATCTTTTTCTTTCTCTTCGGAAATATCATGCGATCATAAAATTCTAAGAGGACAATCAGCGATGAGACCTTTTTTCTCGCAGAGAAACGAGCGTGGAGTTTCGTCAGGATCGTGAACAAAGGGACCGGTGGGAGCCGAGGATTCTGCCCGTTTCTGTATGGGTGCGATTCTAGAGCCGCGCGTAATTCCGGAGGAATTATACCGCTCGTAAAACGGTAACAGCAAACGGTGGGACATGTAATTCGTTTGCCGCGGGCGGGTGTCTCGGGGCCCATTGTCCCACCTTATTACTTTAACGTGCAACGTGGAATGACTCTCGACGTGATCCTGCAGCCGGGATATGAGGTCTCTCCTTCGAACATTGACCTTTATACTTTCGATAAAAAAGCTGTTTAAACCCAAGTAAATTTGTACATTTGATTAAGCAAAGCAGCATTAAAACAGATAGTAATTTCAGTATGTAAGGATATATCATACTTCGATTACAACTCAGGATTAATATAACACTAGACATTTTTTTCAAAGTCAACATAAAAATCATAACATAAAATAAATGTACCAATGCCGAGACCGCCGAGACAATTAAGACCTATGTTTGGACACCTTTATCATTTTAGTTTTTAAAATAAGTATAACGCGAAGCATTCTGCACGTTTATTCAAAAAAGATAAAAGTACTCGGAGCCGAATGAGGTCGGTGGGGCCACTTACTCCACTTGCATGAGTCTTGGTATGGGCTGTAAATATTGGCTCCCACGCTCGCCTCTAATGTGCCCGGCTTCACCTACTGCCGAGGCCGAGATGCATCCGAGAAGTGAGTACACGATGTACGCTCGTAAAAACGACGACCCACACCCTACTCGCCTTACTCGGCCTTACACCTTTCTCGAGCACTTTATTTCAGGCATACCTCACGTCAGATTGCGTTCGATACATCGAGATCCCAATGTACTTTTTGAGGTGCAATCACCGATGACGCGTAGTTGTGGCGGCGCAATGTTAATCGAGATAGCAATTGCGAAATACGAACATTTAAATATGTAGAAGATCGAATTTTTTTCAAAGGAATACACATTGACAACATAATTATATTTTTTTCTCCAAGATTAATATGCTGGAAGTTTGAAGTTAATGGAAGATTACAAAAAAGAAAACTCTCTCTCTCAAGTCGAAATTAGATAAAATTAAGTCAATTCGGGCTAAGAGTTAATACAATTAAAATATATAATTGCATTATTCATATCCTACGTAGACTCTATATATAAAAACGTGACAGACTATGTTTTTACCGAGGCTCAGAATGAATATAGATGGTGAGAGTATCTAATTTATATCAAATTATTGTTACATATTAATATATTCCTGATATCAACTTCTTATAATAATAGAGAAAAGTTTTCTTTCACCGGAGGAAAAGTCTCGATTTCGTCTCGTTGTGCAACGAGCCTAACGAAGGGTCGGCCAAGTCGAGGACGGACGGAGCTAAAAACTGGACCGGAAGCCTGCGGCAAAAACGCACGTGCCGAGGAGTAAAATGCATCGCGAGCGGTACACAGTGACTCGCCTTGTTCTCCAGGGAAAAACATCAAGCGAGCGCCGGTGCATCTTGACGAGAGTACGTCGCGGGCGAACGGCTCGACCGCGATATTTTAATCTTCAACGTCCCTTAATTATGTTTACCAATGTCTTATCGTTATGTATAAGATCGCTATATGAATAAAATAAAGATAAATAAGAAAGGAGATAGTAATAAACTGACTAATTAGAAGGTCTATTTATTAAAATGCTGCAAAAATTCGACGGTAATTTAAAAAAAGTTTTAATGTGGTAATAAAATAATTAAGTATCATGTATGATGATGTTTAATATAATAGTCATTGTACTACTAATTGTGTGCATTAATAATAATAACAACAACATTTCATAAATTTTTAGCAAACTAGCAGGGGAATGCATGAATTTTCTACTTTCTGTTAGAGTTTCGACACAACTTTTTTGTAACATATTTGCAATCATGCAGATATACATATTATTTTAAATAATAAAAGTTACAAAACAATTTTATATCTTATGGGCATTTGTCGTAAATTTGTCTCACCGTGAAAGTGTAAAATTGTTGCTTTTCTTGTCGAGAGATTTCGCGTGCCACATGTACAACTGTATAGAATATAGAATGTTTTAAGTGTGTTAAATGTCAAAAACAAAGAGACACGTTCCATGCGCGCAAAGTAGCTATAAAATTATAGTATTCGTATTCTTTAAGGTACAGAAGACCTAGAAGATCGTTGATGCGACAGACATAAGTTTCACGTTCTTCGAATGATTTCTCTTCTTTTTATTGAAAAAGGTCATTAGCTTTGTTTCCTCGCGATTTAAATTCGAAATTCAAGCACTAAAATATTTAACCGAACTAGACTAATATTACATTTTCTTTAAATACGTAGCTATTAATAATAGAAATTGTCAGTGAATTATTGATAAACAAATTCAAAAAAATATCAACTAAAAATAGCCAAAATTTGATCAATTAAATTACACGACAAATAATAAAAGTGAATAACATGATAATAATATTAATTTTATATATAATATATATATTACACCTCTTTAGGTAGTGTTTCGCATCCATTCAATCTAAACGACTCTTAACCGGAGTCACGGCAATTACCGAAACTCTCGCGCATCATCATTATCACAAGGCTGTTATTTTCTCATTTGGAAAAATAATTAAAATTTAATCATAATGTACGTTAGACATCAGCGATGTTGCAAACTCTTAAGTTGAAATGAAATACCGTTAAACCAAGCGTGTCATCGCCATATCGGTTACAGTCGCGAATTGTAATAACAGCGAGTTGTAAAAGCTTTGAAAAAGAGCAATGTTAACAACGAACAGTCACTGTTGTTCGTTGTTATGGACAAAGAAAATCGGTGGAGCAAAGAAAGAACAGAAAAAGAAATCGACAGAGGATTTGCATCGCTCTAGTTTAGATTATATCAAGCGTTTCGTCGGCGTGAACACTTTCTTCCTACGCCACGGCTGATTATCTTCTTCGCTTCGTGGCGTAGCGTTGAAAACACGTCCAGATTCTGAGAGAGTAATTACGTGACGGGAAACACGAGTTCGATACTCCGACACGGCATGGGCATTGCGATAGGTACTTCTCGCAAAAAAGACTACCACCAAAGACTATTAATCTCCGCCCCGCACGTTCGTCGAAATTACCTTGCCAGGCGCTGTTTAAAACATAGTTATTATTTGACAACGTAGAAATAACGTAGAAATTACTTTGACAGAATCACATTGTACACTTCATTTTTGCATCTTGACAATTGCAAACTCTGTTTATATAAGTATCAAGTAAGGAAATAAATAATACAACGATACACGACATAATTAATAAAACAGAAATAGAATTAATACGTGTGTGTGGTGAATAGTATAATATAATTTTATAATATAAAATTATATGTCTCAAAATTATTGCTCTAAAGGTTTATACAATTATGTTGTTCGAAACAGGAATGATGCAATTGTTTATAGACTTATTATCATAATAAGTGATATTAGTCTATGAAAATTTAAATTTAAAATACTTGACAAAATTATACGGATATTAAAAATTGTGCATCATTTGCTTGTTTCAGGCTCATGTGGTCTCAGCTTTTGAGCAATCATTGTCCAATATGACCCAGAGATTGCAGCAACTCACAGCTACAGCTGAAAAGAAGGTAAAAACACTGCAAAAGTATTAATTATTTATATAAGAATATTAAGTTTTAATAAATCGTCGCGATTTGATAATAAAAGAGACCTTTCTTTGCAAAAATTTTTAATTGCATATATGCATAAAATGATATATACCACCGTTGAATTTCATTAAAAAGCAAAAAGAAATGTATAAACACGTCACATTTTAGATTTAATCGACACTTGATGCAGACGTACAATATTTTTGTCGTTAAAAACAATTGTTTTTTTGCCGGCGATTTTTCAGGATTCCGAGCTTCAAGAACTCCGAGAAACGATCGAGAGGCTGCGCAAGCAGAGTGCCGAAGCTGGATTGAACAACGGTCCAGCCGCGAACAATGGTCGGCGTCATACTTTAGGTGACTCCGAATCCGGTACCACCGGCTGCACCGGCAGCAGCAGTAGCAACAATCATCATCAGGGCGCGTCGATGGCGAGACAATTGTCCGCGGACAGCGTGACATCTCTGAACTCGCTAAGCAGCGCCTGCTCGGCCAGCAGCAGTCATCACAAGAAGAAGGGCTGGTTACGCAGCTCTTTCTCCAAAGCTTTCTCGAGGTCGCGTAAGAATCGACACGGTTCGGTCTCCGATGCCGAGGACTGCAAGGAGAGCCCTGGCGGTGATCTGAGCGCTCCAAACAGTCCTAGATTGCCAACCGCGTCCAAACACGAGTCTTCGAGAGCACAGACTGCGAGGAGCAACGGCCAGAAGTCTCCCGATCATGAGAATCCTTTGTCAGGAAGCAAGAGCAGCTCGGCATTATACAAGAAAGAGGACGAAGACGTGGATGAATTGAAGAAGCAATTGAGGGAGAAAGACCTGGTGCTCACAGACATCAGATTGGAAGCGTTATCTTCGGCTCATCAGCTGGAATCTTTAAAGGACACGGTCATCAAGATGCGGGTGAGTATACAGTTTTTATTTAGAAAATAAATTCTCATATACTATATGACTTAAAGTTCAGTCAGATTCGACAAGTTTAACGACTTACAGTTAATATTTCAAATTTTTTACTTAAAATTAGAGAAAGAGCGTAATTTTTACACCTACGAATAAAAATATATTTTACATTTATTAATATATTTCGTGTGAATTTATCACTTCTCTCCCACAGTACGAGATGCTGAATTTGAAGCAGAACAATGAACGTCTCCAACGACTAGTGACCTCGAAGTCGCTCACCTCATCGCAGTCCTCTCTACCTAGTGATCCAGATCGACGCTTCAGCATGACCGAGGTGGCGTCGAGTGTCGCAGCGCTGTCGAACGGCGACGTCAGTTCCACGGCCGATCAACTGGAAGATCTTAACGTCCCGGTCGAACACTCCGTGGTGCCGTCGAGCGCGACAACCACGGAACCGGTTCTCGAGCAAGACACTGACGGCAAGAGGATCAATGTGGCTGTCTATCTTGGCAGTGAACGAAATTTCAACTACAATTTGATTACCGGGAGTTCCGCCGACGGTACCGTAGGGGAACCACCACACTGCGTGATCGCCAACGTATGCATCAGCAACAAGACCAGCTGGGACGCGCTGGACTCTATGGTGAGGCGTTGCTTCAAGGAATATGTTTCTCGGGTGGATCCCGTGACGAATCTGGGTCTTGGCGTTGAATGTGTCGCCGCCTATCATTTCGGCGAGGCTTCGAGGTGTGTATTTATTTAAAAAACACTAAAATAGTATAAATTTTATCTAATATCTAGATAAGATATACGATTTTTAATAGAAGCGCTCCGTATTGAGATTTCGAGCTTTTCTATCTTGATATAAAATAATTAAAACTTTTCTCTCCACTTCACAGATGCACTACCGATTCTCAGCATCCCGAATTGTTACCCTGCGGCTACCTAGTCGGCCACGTAAAGACTATCTATCTAGTGCTATCGGGCTATTCCTGGCTGGCGGTAGATACTTTGATACCGCGCTCTATCGTTCAGCGACTGATTTCCCTCCTGACGGAACATCGTAGAGTGATTCTATGCGGTCCAAGTGGTACAGGAAAGAGTTATTTAGCTGGGAAACTGGCGAACGCCCTAGTAGACGCCGACAATGACACGAAGGACGCTGCCGCCGTTGCGACTTTCAACGTCGATCATAAGTCCAGCAAGGAATTGCGCCAATATCTTGCACACATCGCCGAAAGGTGCGACTCGAACGCCGCTGATGAACTACCTAGGGTGATTATCTTGGAAAATCTTCAACACGCGGCATCACTGGGTGAACTCTTCAGCGGTCTTCTAGGAACCAGGCATTTATCGTGTCCTGCTATCATCGGTACTATGAGCCAGGCCACCTGCAGTACCACCAACTTACAGTTACATCATAACTTCAGGTATTTTCATTCTTGTAAACTATAACTCTTATTTAATCTATAATTTTAATATAATAGATACCTCTATGTAAAATTATTTTAGTAATTTCTAGATCTTATTTTGGATGTAACTAAAAAGTCTTGAAGAGAAATCCTCGATAAGAAGCTAAATGCTAAAAATTAATTTCAGAATCACTAGTTATGAATGCAATTCATCTCACGGTGTAAATAAGTAAAATGTAATATATTTAGTCTTCTTAATTAGACGATGAAGGGATAAAAGATGGATTTTTTAACCTGATTATGTAATTTGTTTATGTAATTTTGATTATGTGATTAAACAGGTGGGTATTATGCGCGAATCATATGGAGCCGGTCAAGGGATTCTTGGGACGTTATTTGAGAAGGAAATTACTGGAGCATGAACTGCGCGAGTGCGCTGGGACAAGGAACGCGGAAATGGCGGCAGTAGTCGAGTGGCTGCCGCGTGTATGGTTGCATCTCAACAAGTTTCTAGAAACCCATAGCAGCTCCGATGTCACTATAGGTAATATTTACTGAAAATATTGAAAACACATTTCTACATTTCAAAAAAACCCAATTTTCAAAAGAGCCCGTTATTTCCAATTTAAAATAAAACGTCTCAACAATTTACTATCTTTAATTATCAGTTCTCTTAATATCAATACGATAGTAGAATCAGTGACTTTTAATCGCGAAGTTTAAGGAATATTTACGGTAAAATTCTACTGCTTTACTATCTCCAATTTTCCTATCACCAATAATTACAAATAGATAAATAATAATAATAATATTAATAATTTATCAGGACCGCGACTCTTCCTGTCATGTCCAATGGAAGTAGCTGGTTCTCAAGTGTGGTTTACCGACCTGTGGAACTATTCAGTGATACCTTATCTGGTGGAGGCAGTCAGAGAAGGATTGACGCTATACGGAAGACGCGGGAACGGAAATGGCGAGGCAACCTGGGAGGATCCAGCGCAATTTATCACATCCAGTTATCCATGGATCTCGACGCATGCCGTGCACGGCGGCAGCGACGCTCTTCTACGTCTGAGACCCGAAGATGTGGGATACGATGTCGTCTCCAGCGGGCACACTTCGGGTGTAGGCGCCTCCAGTGTTAAAAGCCTCGGAAGTACTCACAGTGATACTGAAGGAGATCCTCTGGTCAGTATTCAGAGTATTAAAACTCGGGAACTTTAAAACACAGATATTTATATGAGAATTTTTAGTTTTATATATTCGGAAAATTGAAAAGAAGTTTCCTGAGATTTGTGTAACTCTCAAATTGAAGGATATTAATATTCATAGATGTAATATCAAAATGTGATATACGTCATCAAAGCAATTCAGCGATCTAAATAAACTGTTGAACATAGTAATAATAATGATAATTTCTATATATAGATTAATTATACATTTTTATCGTGTCATGGGAAATTACTCTCTTAACAGAACAATTGTAACAAAGAGAAAGAAGATGAAATTTACATAATTCTATTACATATCTATTGCATATTAATTATAGAGAAATTTACTGTTTTATTTATGTTGCTTTATATGTAAGAACTATTCAATGGTAATCAAGAACCTTATTAATTAACTTGTTAATCAACTTTAATTTTCTTAAATCTATTTTTATAGCTTAACATGCTGATGAGGCTGCAGGAAGCGGCTAATTACTCGAGTCCGCACAGCAACGACAGCGACTCGGTGACCTCCCTCGACTCGTCACATACACGCCACTCAGAAGATTTGAGCAGCTCGACATCTTCGTCAAGAGGCGTAGAATCGGCACTTTAAATTAGCAAGATATCATGAACAAAATTCATCGCCGAAAGGTCGAGACCCGCGTATCGACCGTTGAGCATTAAAAATACTACAAAAAGTACAGATCAATAGCTCTCGCAAGTAAACAACCATTCCGATCGCCGAATTCAGATTAACAGAAAATTATTTGTAAAAGGTTATTATTAACGAGAAGTATCCTTATCAGGGAAAATAATCAGCGCAATTTTTCTAAGATTAAAATTTCTAAGATTAAAATTCTGGAAAGAAAATTATCGCTAAATTATACTTCCGAGATAAGAGCAGATCAGTTAAACATTGTCGGTATAAATCCTTATCGTAATAAACATCAAATTACATATTTAAGGACCCTCTGAAATACAATAAGATTAAAAGAAATCACGAAGCGCCAGCTATTTTAAGACCACACTATTTTAATACCAACAATAACTTTGTAATGATCTAAGAGGGACTCGAGATGCCTATTAAAGCTGGCCTAGTTTTATAGATTTCTACGTGCATTCAGCATCTAGGTGTGATATTAAATAAACAAAGAAGATAAGGCGACTCTTCGCTCCTAAGAAAAATAGGTAAGCCGAAAGAAATCCATTTTACGAAGATAAGTTTTACATTTTCGGAATTGAGAAAATTAAATTAAAACCATCTTAGTTAAAGCTAATGATTCGGAAAATTAAATAATAATCGTTTTATTTTACGGAAATAAAAAGAATTTCAGCAATAATAAAAAATATTAACTTCTTGATCAGGGCATTTTAGGTATGTTCTAAATAAATTTTTTTATTTAATCGTATTGTCGCAATTTATTTCTTGAAAGAATTAGCAACATCTTAGAAATATTAAAAATTTGATTTCGCCGATTTCTTTCGGTCCATTAATTTTTCGTGGGGCGTACACACGAACCCGATGCAATAATTTCTACACGCTGCCGTTTGCGGAATTCTATTTTGATGGAACGCATTTTTCATTCACGACGAGATGCGACGAGCGCGTAATTGAAAAAAAATCGCATCGATCTTGTCGTTTGGTATACAGTATTAATGGCAGGTGCAAAAAAGAAAACGGTTTCGAACCGAGGAATTCTCAAAGAAGAGGTAGAGATTCCTCTCTCGTCCGACTATTTTTCAGGTAAAATTATTTAAATGTAGACAGATCTCAAGGGGTGAATAAGCAGACGACTCTCATTCATAAAGCAGACAGAGGTAAAGCGAGTAAGTTCGAAAGGATCATGGTCTGTGCAAAAATAGTCTATTTATACATACTTTGCTACGAAAGCTCTATTTAATTAAAAAATGTTAATATAATATATATATATAAATAGTATATATATACATTCATACCTGAACGACGACGGCGCTAAATATTATATATATATATTATATATATATTACAAAAATAAAATTTCTAATTAGTTTGTAAGGTACGTGAATAATTCTGGTCATGTAACGTTGTAAATACGAAACACAATGTGAGATAGATTGCGCTAGATATGCGAATTCGATTCAAAGTCCCACACGAATGGGCCCCGATATCTCTTGCGATAATTTTACTTGCGATCTTTCTTATATATTTTACATTTGAAATGTATCATATTTTGTAATAGATAACAAAATCTTTGTATCTTTTTTTTTTATCTCCAAAAAGAAATTTTTTTACAGCAATAAATTAATTTTGCCATAATAAAATAAATATTTATTTTTTGTTAGAAAATATTGCTCAAGAAAATAATCATAATTACTACGATCAATTTTATTCTCAGTTTTTTAATTTGATAATTGTAGATTTATTACGTTTTAGATAAATATAATTTTCTAAAAATTAAATGGTTTTATACATTTTCATAAAAAAAAAGAATACGAGAAAAATGAAAATGTGATGCTGACTGAAGAATTACAATCACAGGAGATAATTCGGCGTTCACGAAGACTATATATAATGTACATGATCGGTGGCATGGTGTCCCCGGCTGCGATGAAGTAAAAAGAAAAGGGGACACATCAACGTTACTCATATATTATATATATGTATATGCGATAATACAGTCGCATTTACAAGTTTTTTACGTTTGTACGGTATTTATACATACGCTGTACACAGCGCCGCACTCCAAACTCTATTCAAATAACGATAATTAACTGTGTCATCAAATAAATCGCATTCAAATCTGTCTTGTCGATCTTTCTGATTTCAAACATTATACTTATCTATCAATTTGTAAAATATCATTATGCTTCAAGAGATTATTCTTCTGCCGTGTCTTTTGATAAGAAGTATCAACGTATCGCCAATAATATCAGCGGAAATCGGAAGAGATATGAGGTAACTAAGAAACAAGAATAAAGCACATGTGAAGAGAAAAAGCTAGACAACCACTAGCCGATCTCGGCTAACGATTCACCGGCACCGCCACCAGAACCAGCCGCGACGAGGCGGCCAACCAACCAGCTCCGGCCGACATCCGACCCTTGTGGGCAGAAGGGCCCCCCCCCCCCCCCCCCCGAAAATAAACAAACGAATTGATACACATCGACAAATATTTGTATCTTTATTATTCGATAAAATACAGAGCAGCTAAAATAATACATAGTATGTATGAATAATATATAAAAACATCGTGATTGATAAAACTTGTATAAATTATGTACAATGAGCTAAAAAATAATCGACTAGATTTAAATATACGATCGATGGTGCGTCAGAAATTAAAACTCTTTACAATCTGAATATCTGAAAATTGGGAATTTTCTATCGGTAAGGAAAAGGGAATGGAGTGAATTGAGCAGTCGTCTCAAATCTAGCCTGTGTTCTTGCCGTTCACTTTGCTTAATTTATTGCGCGATATTTTGTCAAAGAATAAAAGCCCGGCAGCGCGTTCGATGCTGTCTGGTGGCACCTGTTAAAAAAATTGATCAGATTCTTATAATATAAATTTATTATATCTTGTTATACATTGAATAAGTTTCATATACATCGCTTATTTTTCACACTCATGCAATTACTTCAATACGTTTAATTTTAATATTTGCTTCCAATTAATAAGCAATTGTACTGACAATTTAATTACGTTTATATTGCGATACACTTAAATACATATTTATAGATACAAAATGTATCCTACATAGTTTAATATCATTTCTACATTTTATAATTTCTTGAAATGCAAAGTATAGTACCTGAAAATTAGTGAGCGGCGCGTTATCGTCAATCGGCGTATTCGGCATCACAAAAGCTTCCATTTCGAGCTTGCCATCGTTGGTTTCGCCGACGATCACCTTGTAAAAGTGTGTAGGCACCGCCACATGATTCGCGCCTATCACCTCATAACGCACATATTTCTTTCCATCCGTTTCTCTCCTAAAAATGCATATAATAATATAAAAATAGACAAGATTCAAAGCAAAACTGGAAACTGCCAGCAAGCAAACGCACTTAGGAAGGTACAACGGTCCCGTGCACACGTAAACGTCCTTGTAGACATTTGTCAATTTCCGAACGTGTTTCTCCAACCTGTTCCAGGAATCTCTATTGAAGCCCTTTCCGACCTGTGGTGCCATATTAGTGAGGAAGAAAGTTTGCTCCATGTGTTTCTGGTTCACTCTGTGATTTCCAGCCGCCGCCAGATGACCACGATCATAGCCGCTTCCTTTGTAGTCTGTATTCTCTGATCTGTTGACATCGTCAAAATTAAGACTTAATTAATCTCAGATCAATTTAGTCTATTAAATTAAATTAGCAAACTTTCTCTCTCAGATTTCTAAGGAATAATCTGAGAGAGAATTATATATTAGAAATTCTATATTTCTTCACCTGAAGAAAGGGTGTATACTCTGATCGGGTTTGAATTCGCACTTGGAACGATCCGCTTCCTTGTTGTACTGCAACCTTTCCTTGGTCAAGTGTTCAAACACCCAATGAGCAACTCTGTTTCGCCTGTCGTAAGAGAGCACAAAATCCTCGTAGGACCTGACATGATCCAATCCGGGAAAACCAAATTTCATAATCTGCCGCAATATTATCAATATCCAGTACGATCGTTAGAACTTTTAACGCAACAACGGTGTTAGAAACAATTCAGCAAAATTTCTATGCATCGACAATAAGTTACTGAATTAATTCCTTTCATACTTGATGCGACCAGATTATTTATTACTAAATCATCACATGCCAATAAATTTGTCAAGTATCAAATTATTTGTTATTGTTATTGGTGCCAGCTTCCAGCATTGCAAATTGTTTGTAATCTCCAATGATATATAAATGGGGGGGGGGGGGGGTTAGTTAATCTTTAATCATCCTTAATCCCACCTGCGACACCCTTGTGACGGTCGATGACACTTTGGAGCCCATATCGTAGTCGCTTTCGGCAGGTGTCAAGGGGGTGGCCGCCGAAACCGTGCCGAACAGAGGCAAACCTGGCATGCTCCGGATATGCGTCGCTGACAACACGCTCGTTTCATTGTCTTTCGAATATCGCCTCTGTTCGGAGAACTTGCCCAAGTACCAGCCCCCCATACCCACGCTAGTCAAAGCAGTTAGATTAAACACTATTTGCCTCATTCCGTTCATATTTCTCTTTGTTATCCTCCGGGATCCTTCCGCGTGTAAATATCGCCGTCGTAAATATCGTATAATTATGAAACGGGGAAACGCGTCCGACGTATAACGCGAGGAAGACAGGAGGGTTAGGAGTTTACATGCATTAGGATCGGGTCAAGTTAGAATAAGCACGTGGTCACTGTGACGTATATGCACTGCAGTGTCCCAAATATACGTGTGTAGAATTTCAAGTTTAAAGGGCCGGTACCACAGTCTCCGATTAACGTGATCCTCCGATTAAACTCACTCTTCGTCTCTTTCTAGAGGGACAGTTAGAAAGAGATGCAGAGTGAGTTTAATCGGAGGATCACGTACGTTAATCGGAGACTGTGGTACCGGCCCTTTTATCATGAAATAGAATTAATTTTGGTGATATAAATTTGGAATTTCCATTAGTTGTGAAAAATTAAGTATATATTTCATTTTCCCGGTCTCACAAGATCGCCTTTATTATTTATATAATAATAATAGTAAATATAATGAAATTCTACTTTTCTACATACATTGAATGTATTTTTTCCAATTGTAATTATTTTTGTCATTAAAATTATGGAAAATGAGCAAGTTCAAGAGGCAGACTTTTCTCACGCACTACTCTCAGATTTTTTGTATAAAGATATTTTTATTTACAATAACATTTTTACAAAAAACGTCTTATATACAATGGTTCAAGATCTTATTTCGCGAACACAATTTTCTTTTAGATAACTTTGCGCTGCGTTGTGCATGATATACTTTTGTTATAAACTATAGACCAGATTTTTTATGAGATCCCATATAACTGAAACTTACTTAAAAAAATAGGTATGTTAACCAAGAGTAATGAGAGCTTACATAATTGAATCACTTCATATTGAAAGAAAACGTAATACATTAATAAATTTTAAGATTTTCTATTTGAAAATCTCTACATGAAATTATATAAAAACTTAAGTATTTAGTTATTGAAACATATCGCTTTTCATGAAAAAGAAAAAGACTAATGATTGATCTAAATAAAAAGTGTTATTCAAACTAATAAATTAATTAAATAATTTACTTTAAACATTATCTTGGTTAATTTTTCGGAAAATCTGTGTTATAAAATTAGTATTTTATTACTGTGCAAATAAAAGTTTCTCTGATTTGTCGTTATAGAAATTCTTCCAAATATCACAAGAAAATATACTTAATCACTGTTATTCTCATCGGAATCCTCTACCAGGATAGTGTCGTGACCAGGTAACATTCGGGGATCAAAGGTATTCTGAAAACATTTCTGGAACACCAGTCTTGCTTTCTTGGCTACTTGACACCGCGGCGGCGACTGTAGCTCGCTCTCTTCACAATTATTGCAGTCTACTGCAACTTCTTCCTCCTTCTCACGATTTTCCTCGTCATCCGTCAATTTCCTCTTTGTGATACTAGAAAATACTGACTTTACCAGCTTTCGTTTGTCCTCCGAAATCTTTTTGCTAGTCGCCGAAGATGTACTAGCAGGACTGAACGCGACAGAGCGACGACTTTGTTCCGGCAAATTTCTTTCTCGAACACCATTTATAGAATTATTTGCAGAAACGATATTGATAGAAGCATTCCTGTTTTGGTTGAGCGTTTTGTCCGACTGATTTTTCTCTTCTGCTGGTCTTTTGAATATATCACTGACTTCAGGTTTAGATTTCTTCATTCGACTGGAGAATTTGTTGGCGCGTTTAGACGTACCCCTTGAAGAAGCATTCTTTCTTCGAACAGACTGTATTTGCCTGCTGACAACCGACGAGTCCGATTGACTATCACTGTCTGGGCTTAGAGTTGATAACAGCAAGTTTGTCTCGAAGGCTTGACTCTTCAGCGTAAATAATATTGGTCTGAAAAATGTAACACGCGAGAGATCAAGAATTATTAAAATAGAAACATGCTAAAATTTTATATTACTGGTATATCAAAACAATAATTTAATCTTTAACTATCAGAGTGTTTACTTAATATTAAATAAAAGAGCTTGAGAATTTGGATGTATACCTTCCTGCTGTTCCAAAATTTGCGGTAATTGGAATGCCCACGCTCTCGCTGAAAGCGAGGAAAGCTCTGACTTCTTTCAAACAAAACGTAACGCTTGTCTCGTTGCCAATCGTGTAACGATCAAATTCTCCGGGACCAAGAGCCAGCTGGGTACGTGTAGTATGTACCATGACTGTGTGTAATATACGATTATAGTATTAATTGACATTAATTGATAATAATATATATTACATTATTTTGCGTTTTATGTTTATACATATATGCTAGGAATGGCACACTTGATTTACCTGATGCATCGTCCACGTAATTCCTGAACAACAGCTTAAGTGACGTTACCTCGAGCGTTATTTCAATCAAATTTTGTGGAAAATTTTGCAAAGCGTCCATTAATGTTCGACCCCGCGACATCAATTCGTTAGACATACCAGCCTTAGTGTACGATGCCTATTTAATCCACAATTTCATTATTCTGATATGATCAACAGTTCAGGTGAAAATTTAATCCTCGGATGTATTTATTTCCTTTTTTTTTTATAATACTGTTATATGAAATGTTATTATTTATCAAATTTTTAGAATATATTTGGAGATGCCGTAATTGATAGAATTAACTAGGTTTTGTCAAAACCTGATAAATGATTTTTAAATTACATCCAAGAATTAAGTATAACGAAAAAATGTTTTTAGTGTACTTGCAACTTTTCTGAATCCAAAATAGGCGCCAGGTGGGTCTTGTTGATACCGTTTTTGTATTTGAGGATAAACACTAAATTGCAAGCATCTACCTCCAAATGAACGTGACAAGTTTCCACTTGCTTGTCCAACATATGTGCAGATTTGAAGACTGTCATTGCACTCTGTAAATTAAATATCATAGATTAATATCCTGAACATAAATTTGTAGCTGAAGCAGATATTACCCTTATTGAAATTTTGCACTTTTGTGCCTCTTCTTCCTCGAGATCTCCAAGAGTGTAATAGGAGAAGAAATTTTTGTCGAATGTGAAGTCAGAGTATGCTGATTTTGCCATGTTGACCGTGCGAAAAGACATAGATTCTTCTTGCGGATTCACATATATCTCATCGCCAATCCTCGCCAGCATGTGTATGGCTTTTGCCAAGACTGTATCAATCAGGAAAAGTTAATCAGTAATTTATTGTCGAGAAGCTTCATGAAATTATTAATCTGAAATTCTTCTAGTTCATAATATTTAAATATTTAGAAAATTTTTATTATTATTAACTCGTAGTGTAGTTACGTTTTAACGAATATTTCTCGTAAATAATAAAATATACAATACAAAACAAACTAGTAGTGTAAAGGATTAGATTAGCCTTGTAGTAGAAAATGTTATATTAAATTGGTGATTTTTGTTTGCGTTGTAAAACAGTGATTCTGATTTATTTACATAACATAAATTAAGAGAGTGATTTACTTTTGACGTTTCCGCCAGGTACGACGCATTTCATGTCGAATACTTTTTATGTTTCTATTATATATTGCGCAGGCAATATTAGAAAAGTGTTAAAATGTTTCTCGATTTAATAACTTTCTCAGAACAACGCACTGCTCATTCGAACTTTCACGCGCGGCCATAAATAATAATAATTTGAGGTTCTTGCTGGTTTCAGGGTAAAAGACCAAATAGGTTATGTCATAGACGAAATAATATCGCAGATCCGCAACACAACATGAGAAAAATGTTTGACGGTTTGACGTTTCTGCCCTGCCTCCTGCCTCCTGTGCAATGTGCATTATTTTATAGAAATATAGCAGATACTGATATCGCGAGATTATAAGTATCGAAATATATATTAGCTTAAGGATTTAATTACGAAAATCATGGTGAGTAACACAAAAATAATCCATGAGTGTACTAAATCTAAAACTAATCGTTTTAGTAATCTAACCTTAAAGCAGGCGGTGAAACGTCATTTTATAGTTTCTGTCTGTATTAAATGTATTTAAACTTGTATCGTGTAGTCAGTAACTCCTTTTATAACTAATTTTTTTATTTTTTAATCGTCTCTCACTTATGAATAAGAATTTAACAGTTTACTTCAGTTTATCTCAATAATTTATAAATGTCAATTTCTCTCCTTACAGTTTTCTAACTTAAAAAAAGTATATGTATATATTTTTATTTAGAAAAAAGCAAATTACTTAATATAATGACATACACAAAGATTTCAAAATCTCTTGTTTCAAAGCAGATACAAAAACAAACTTGTTGCAGCTTGTGTTGGTATTAGGGGACTTGCATATTCCACACAGATGTAGTAGCCTTCCGAGTAAATTCAAGAAGCTGCTAGTACCAGGAAGAATACAGCACATCTTATGCACCGGCAATCTTTGTACAAAAGAGTCCTATGATTATCTCAAAACACTAGCCAGTGATGTGCATGTAGTCAGAGGAGATTTCGATGAGGTATGCATTATTCTAACACGCATGCATTATTTAACCACGTTGACACAAAAATATAGAATAATATTAAAACGTAATTAAAATAACTAGACAGTTTAAATACGTCGAGTAAAATTAAGGGCAAGAAAAATAAGTAAAGTTGTCATTATGTATTGATTATTTAAATTGCAAGAAAGACATTAGTTAAATTGCAAGAAACATAATTACAAATATTATTTACATATATACAAATAAAAGCAAACAATTTTATTTGTTTACAGAATCTAAATTATCCGGAACAGAAAGTAGTTACTGTGGGCCAGTTCAGAATAGGACTTTCCCATGGACATCAAGTAGTGCCATGGGGTGATCCAGAATCTTTAGCCTTGATACAAAGGCAATTAGATGTCGATATTCTCATATCTGGACACACGCATAAATTCGAAGCCTACGAGCATGAAAATAAATTCTACATCAATCCTGGATCAGCTACCGGAGCTTACAATCCTCTAGATACGTAAGTCTTTTCAAAAAGATGTAGAAGTAATATAAAAATGAATATGGAAACATGTTTTTCAGAACAAATATTACTTTTTTCAAAAGTTTAATTCTAACAAAATTCTCTTTTTTTTTTTAGAAATTTTTTTTTTAATTTAGTCATGTGATGCAATCTTTTAATATTATAAATTTATAAATTATTTTCTCAGAAAAAGTAAGGAAATCCCATATAAGAATCCTGTTTTGATCATAATTTTTTCTTTTTAGATCAGTTATACCATCATTCGTATTGATGGACATTCAAAGCTCAACAGTGGTTACTTACGTGTACCAGTTAGTCGGAGACGAAGTTAAAGTGGAAAGAATTGAATATAAGAAGAGTTAGAGGAATCTCCGATGGAATCTCCAAATTACATCTATTATAGATTATATCCTAAATTCAATATGAATGCAATTACGCGCATAAATATTCAACATTTGCCGGATACTTTTAATGTGTCTCGGATTAATTGATTAATTACTTAACGTTTAAGTATACTTACTGAATCGCATATTTGTTGTAAATAAAGCAATATCAATATTATGCGTAAAGTAAGTTCTCTCGGATTTAAAAATGGATCGATAGAGAATATCACTTTGAAAAAAGTCAAGATTTGTCCTTAATAATTAAGTTTCTATATATGATTTTATAGAATCGTTTTATATGGCTTGGTATGTAATCCCTTTATTTCCATAGAAAGACATGACATGAAAGATGGAACAATGTTTCTTTTTGCTTAGAAATGTGACAGAAAAATAAAGACGCACGTAACTTGTTAAAATAGTGATGAGATTTAGATAATATCAAGAAAACTTGACTATCACATTTAATTATATTTTTATAACAAAAGAATATCATTCCACAACATTCACTCCGACAAACGCTCGTAAATATTTATTTATAAATTAAAAGTAATAAACAATTGCTCGTTATTCTATCATTTTCTGGATTTTCTCAGGAGAGTAAACCCTTCACCAGTAAACGCCTTAAACTCGTCTGGATCTTTTGTCTGAAACAATACAAGCGATATATTAATATGATTACATGATACCACGAAAATCATGTGCAATATAAATTAAACTCACATTAGATCTGCATTTTACAACAAAATTCAGAAGATAATTCTATTTATAATTTTATATTTTATTACCTCCTTATTATTCGTTGGCTTTATGTTTCGCAGGAACCTGAGAGTGCCTATTTGATAATCATAATCGGGTATTCCCCGGACATAGGTCGGCTTTGTGGCTACAGTTTCCTGCTTGGGCGCGTCTTTGCGCTTCTTGCCGTCCAGCCGGACGCCTTCACCTTGGAAAGGTACAAAGCCAGTCTGTGCCGGCATCAAATCAGCCAGGTGCTCTATGTCATCCTCTTCCTTCTTTGTCTTTCTTACTGGCTCTTTATAGCCTACCGGCGGCGCAAACTCTACATTCATGTCGCATTCAATGATACTAACTGCCGGACCAGGTCTGGTTTCGAGCACGCACATCTCGTAAATCTTTTGATTATACTTGATCGCAATTACGTCGCCTGTGGTTAGGCAGGCGAAGCTGCGCAGACCGTTCTCCAATACGGCCTTCGGATTTGTAATATCCAAAAAGTCCTCCGACTGTGGCTGAAAGCGCGAGAATGTTGCGACTGGTAGTGACACGCTCTCTACATTCAATAGCTCACCTTCCTCCAGCAAAAGATTATGCATCATCTGTAACAAGATGTAGCAATCTATAAATTTATTTACTGCGATTTTTTTATATATAAAATGCAATCCTTACTAACCCAATAAGGTAAATAGACTTTGCCTTCGTCGGCAATGAATTCCAGTACACCACAATGAGTAATTCTATTGGTTTTCTTGTTGGTCAGTTTGAATAGCATTGGGTAAATGATATTGAGCCTGGTAAGCTGTTCCAGAGCAGATGGTGGCATGATTACTGAAAGAAAAACGGACCGATACAAAGCATCCTTCCTGTTTTCATTTAGTTGTCAGTCGATACTCACTCTTGCCGCCACGCTCGACATCCTGGCGATAGGTCCCAGGTAACATCGACACTGAAAAGCACTTGTACTGGGTATTGAAGGGCCGCGGAATCTCCGGGAACATGTTGAACCCGAACTGAAACTGTAAAGTCATTCTGCTGAATTATTAACCTCGATTACTCTCCTTTTGAGAAACAGATCTTGGACAGATCTTTCGCGGTTCCTCCGTTTCCACTGATCTCTTCGGCTCTCTTACCATGCTTGCGGTTTGTTGATTCTCTTTGCAATTTTTCTTTCTTATGAGATTTTTTCTATAACAACATGAACTTTCAACGAGAGAGTCACAACATTTGTACTGATTCGTACGCAGTACACATACTCAATACCGTCGCATTGCATATACATAACCAACATATACAAACATCATATAGCAGACGACGCTGCGTGCAACGCGCTTTTACGCGGTGCACGGTGCAAGGTGCAAGTGTAACTAATAATGGCCGCGTTCAGCAGACACAACTGTTGAGTTCGTCTTACCAACACAGTGCGTTGATTGGTTGGTTCTAAAAGTAAGAGCCAATCACGTTCGACTGCTACTGAGCAGCTTGGTCTGTTGAACGCGCCCATTCAAATGCATCGGAAAGATTGTATAATTGCTAGAAAAAAAAATTTTATATAAAAATGAGATTTTTATCAAATCAAGAGATACACACGGTAGTGTCTCGCGTCAAGCATACGCACAGGGAGAGACCGCCCCATGTATCTTTACTAAAATTTAAAAAATTTTAATTAAAAGAACTTGGCGCTGCTAAACAAAATAAATGGTAAACGTATATTTAAATTTATATTGTGCGAAAGTATTTCTACATTTACATTGTAATTATTATTTTGATATTTTAAATTGCAATCATGATTATTTATTGCTTTCAGATATTTAAAAATCTAACAACGCCAATTTCTTTCAACTAAAATTTTTTAAATTAGACTCTATTCTGCTTGAACTTCATTCAACGCACGAGAAAGATTTGTGCGTGACTTCTATTCGATATTCCCAGCTAAGAATCTAAAATTACACACAAGTAATTCTGATTCTAAAAAGTAAAATTACTGTCTTATAAATTTAAATATTTATATAAGAGTATAATTTCTCTTCTTCTTCCTCGGGACTACAGCCCCAGCGTTAAGGTATATGTTAGGGGTGACAGTGTGGTGTAGGATATAGAAGCGGCGAGTAGCCTTAAATAAGGTAATTTAAATTGTAGGATATAAAAAATAAGAGAGTAAGTGAAGAAAATATTATAACATGATCTTTATGTATATTGCACTCTTTAAAATATAAACTTTACAAGAAACCTGTATCTTCAACAAAGCTCTTCGGATATCTAAAGGCGAAGATATATGTATATGTATTAGGTTGGCCAATAAGTCCGTGCGGTTTTTTACTTATAAATGTTAC